ACAATTTATGTAAGCGTACCGTCCGACGAGTTTGCATGATAGACTCGAGTATTCAACATTAAAAATAGTTGATAACAGTAAATGTTTTATTATAATTTTCTTATCTTAAACAATATTTCAAGTATAAGTGTTAGTTGGTAGACCAAAAGTAGAGCTACCGCGGCAGTAGGGGTAGCATCGTTATTTTTACTAACCGTTTCCAAACAACCATGTTTTCAACGATACGTTGTCGACTTTTATAATTAACTGCTTTAATTTAGGTTGTTCGTAACCCAGGTTTCGAAACAATAACATAATTGCTCATGCAATACGCAACATAATGTCCAATGAAAATTGTATATGTCAAAAAGGTCGAGAGCGCATCTTTTTTAGTTGTTACATGACTAGGATATCACGCCACCCATTAAGTGAACCTCGCGCTCGTCTGTCCTTCGATTCCTTTAAAAATAGTATGCGCTATCGCCTTCTATTATATCCAGCGGTTAAATATAAGTCATTTTTCAGACATCCATTTCACCAATTATAACGCCGGCTTGCTTTGGATTATCCGCTCTAATTTCAAGCGTATTGCTAGTCTTCACGCCAGAAACGTGTGAGTTGCAACTAGTAGATACTATAGAACAACTGGAAAAGGACTGTGCGATGACAAAGCTAAGAAAAGGTGAAATTAACTGCGCATTCGAAGATATAGAGCAATTGTAATTGAATGTTTTCAAATATGTAGCATTATTAAATACCGACATATATTGCGCATATTAATCCTTTATACTTTGTTTTAAAAATTTAGTACATAGTAAGTTCAGTAGGTATCTACTATGAAGAATTATTGATTTTAGTCACGATGCGGGTTTTCTACATATACTTAAATATTGAGTACCTGTAATGTCATTATTTGTAGAAGTACCATGTCTAGAAATCTAGCGAAAGGTACGGTTATAGAAAAAGAAACATATACAACCACCTGTGTTTATCCATCGATTGGTCAGAGGCGGTACCGTACCGGCCGATCATTAACCCAGTTGGATTTCACGCCGCGTGCCGAGGGCACGCCACCCGCGCCCTCCGGCAGTTCGCCACGATGCAATTGCCCGAAACTCCTCCACCGCCACTCGCTCCATTATGGGACAGAGTCCTTCGTGCCCGCGCCTTGCCGCCCGATTTAGACGTGCAACTCCTCTATGTAGCCATCAAGGATCGTCTCGCTCACCCCGAGTGGGAAGTGCGGTTGCACGCGCTGCGAGTCCTCGCGGATCTCCTGCCTCTCTCTGGAAACGCTCTGTCCTTCCCGTTCGATCAAGTCATCGACAACTTGGGACATAGCTCGCCGAACGTGAGGAAGGCTGCGTTAGATGCGCTCAAAGTTTTTTGTATCCATTGCGAGGAACCGGAATGCGCAGCGCGTGCGATTTTAGACAAGTGTTCCTATAACAACGTAAGACCTCATTCAGCCGATATTAGTTTAAAAATAAGTGTCGTACAAGGCCTAGTGTTAAGTATTCCTACTCTTTTCGGGATTTTAAAACGGAGAAGCGGAGATCTGGACATGTTCCCTTTGATAGAAAACTTAGGGGAGAAATTATTTGACTCTATGCACAAGGACGCCGCTTTAAGAACTTTAATGAAATTACGACGCGTGTGTGGACCGCGCGATTATGCTTTCTACTTTTCTAGACTAGACCCGAGAATACAGAATAAATTTCGCTACTTGTGCGAAATATACGATGAAGACTCGATGGACGTATACTACGCGCCGAGGAAACCTCAAATTCAACATTTAACACAAATGAATCGGCCTTTACAAAACTCTACTACGGTACCCCTACACTTTTCTACAGACTCGTCGACTGAGGGGTCCTATAGAATACCACTACATCATAATAACAATTTCGCAAAAGTAATAATTGAAACTGAAATACAATTTGATTCCGATACAGCGATCACTATGACTGTTTTAGAACAAAATGAAACGGAATCCGACAGAAATCCGGTGAGTGATGAGGACGTTTATAGCGATGATAATTTATTTCTAAAGTATAATCAAGTGGATTCCGAAGAAGACTCCGACGTAGTCGTCAAAAGAGTTCGTTTCGGGGGTGAAAGTGTCAAAATACGGACGCCAGATAGTGATAATTTATTAAATAGTGAAGAAGATATAAATGTCAATGTTCCTACGAACACATTAATTGAAACAAAAAGTGATGAGGTTTTAGCGAGCAAGCCTAAAGATGTAAGTGAACAAAAAGAAATAAAACGAGAATCCTTTTCAAACACAACGCGAATTACACCCAAAAAAAGTGGTATTCCGCTACCCGTGATCCAAACTAAAAAAAATAGTCAAACTAATGGAATTAACAAAGGTGATGTTAAATTAAAGTCGAAATCTTTGAGCGAATTATACGAATACTTCAACAATAGAAAAAGAGAGCCCAAGGATAGAACTGGTTTTGCATTAACGCTTTCAAACCAGCGATCGCCCGAAAGGGTTTCTGGCAGTCCCGTAGAACCACATAGAGAAGTTGAAGTGTTACATAACTTACAAAGGAGTCCCACAATATCGCCTAGAAGACCGCACAATCGTGTGAGTGTTGATGGCAACGGGTGAGTGTTTTCTTTTTCCCGATTTAATACAATTTAGTGTCCTTTTGCCCATCATAATATTTTTGATAAGTCATAATGTGATTTTGGCTGCTTTCTACAGATTCGTCCTGAATTTAATAGCTTCTTCGCCCCCTGAATCCCTCTTGCTGTCTCCCAGACCGGCGTCCCCATTACGGACAAAATACGATTGGGAGAGCTTGGATCTTGTATCGCAACACGTCATTGATCAACTACATAATACGGTAATTATAATTCTAAAAAAATCATTATTTCTATTTTAAATCTGCTTAATATTCAGCCTTGACATGTCTGGACGAAAATTGTCCTTTGCATGTTAATTAAATTCGGTCGGACTGTAGACACAATAAAACGTCGGGGTTGTGATTTTCTCGCGATAGCGTTACTTTGGTTTAAGCGTGGGTGTATGTATATTAATAATTAAAACAAGGCATCATGTCAAAACGTAGTTATGAAGTGTATTTTTCGGACTTTGTAAAGTCCAAAAAATACCTATAACTACGTTTTGACATGATGCCTGAAGGCAAAAAAGAGGGTTTTCAATTCGGTCTATAAGGCGTACCCTTATAGATCGAATTGAAAACCCTCTTTTATATAAATAAAACAGGCTTTCAACTCAGTTTTACCTTTAAGGACATAATTAGACATATTTTATGTTTGTTACATAGATCTATATTTTCCAATAGCAATTTTGCTCATCCAAATTTGTTCTCGCTAAAATTCTCTTCACCTTTATAAACTTAACTTAAAGACTTGATTGTAGAAAAGTCAAGCTTCATAATAAAATGTCGTACGCTCGTTTACCAGGAAAACTGGATAGCCACAGTGAAGGCGGCCGATCAGCTTCACGGCACGCTATTGCAGACTGATAACGTGACGCGAGTGGAGCCCGTGGCCTTATCTCTAATACAACACATGTGGGCGCTAAGCGACGCCGTGAGTTATTCAAATATTATAGGTGTACTTGGCACTCCAGCTACAAGCCAGGTGCTAGTGCTCTTGCAAAAACATTGTAATTAATATTACGTGGTAACTTACAAACCAGTATCCTGTACTTGGCCTATCACTTTACATTTAAGATCAGAGAAAAGTTGCTTAACTTAAGTGAAGCACTTAATGGTTTAGTGAATAAAATGCAGGTCCACTTTTTGTTTTCATAAAGAATTGTGTTTAGGTTTCATAGTGTCCTACTTTTTACAATATTAATAACACAATTTTGTATTGTAATTAAACTACCTTTCTACTGTACAGGTGCCAGCAACGAGGGCACCTGCCGAAGGCGTTGTATGTGCTATTGTTAGGAACAGTAGTTCAGATTGTATTCGGCAGCTCTTGCCCGCACTCTTGGAGAGGACTGCGAGGGAACCAGCGCCAGCGGCGTTGCCACATGCCTTGTTACAGAGGATAGCCTTGCACCACCTTATTGAATTGATCTTTGATCCGAATATGATTAAGGTAAGAACATAAATCTCACTTTAGCGCTTAAGAAAAAAATACTTTTATTAAAACTAGTTGTACCAACGACTTCGATTAGAAAAGCCGTTTTTGAGATTAGCACATGTGCACAAACGCACAGACAAAAAAATCATTGCTTGGGATACTATTGTGTTGATAAAGATCTCCCATATATCTTATCTCAGCTATTTACAGACAGCAATCGGTAACATTTTCTTATATGTATAGATGAAGGAAACGTAATTGGTTTTTCCGACAAAAATGTCAGTAAATCTTAAGACTAAAAATAAAACAGACCGCCTCTATAGCCAAATGGTTAAACACATCGCCTAGCATTGCGTTGACCTTGAGAGATCTTGGCTTCAAATCCCAGGGAAACAAAAAAATTGTTTCGGTCGGGCAGGGCACACAAGTCTGATCAACTACTTGCCCGTTCAAAGAACGGATCAGTGAAACGGACACAGAAATGTTTTCGCCCCATGCCCCACGAGGGGGGAGACGGGAATTCACAAAAAAAAAGATAAACGATTGTCGAAGTCAAATTTTTATTTCCACTTGACGTCGAATGTAAACGGGAAATGAACAATTGCTATCGTATTGCCTAACTATAGGAAACAGACCAAGAAAGGGCAGAGGACGCTCGTCTGCGAGCCACCATGTGCCTGGCACGAGCTGCGGGTCCGGCTGCAGTGCTAACGGCTGTCAGGAGGCAAATGGCCGGGTCGCCAGAAGCTGATATATTCTGTAACAAAGTTCGTATTCGTCTTCTTTGGGAAACACAATACGCAACTTGGGATACCTGCTTGTATAATGCAATCATAAAACATATTTAATTTATTACTTATTTATCTTAAAAATCAATGTTTACAGCTGAGAGAAAGACTGAACAAACCGCTCGAGAATATAAGACCAACTCACTTTTCTAGGTACGTCGATATTTAACTACTAGCTGAGTCAGCGACTTCGTACGCGTACAATAGTTATTTTGGGTATCAATTTTTGTTATTGCAAACCTCCTGTTCAAGTATATAAAGTGAGCCGTTACCCACGACGTCGTCTTTAATTAATCTTAAAATATAGTATATGTCTATCTTTCAAGGTTGGCGCGGACTTTTTTAAATAATTTAAAAAGAAAAATTTTTTTTCATCCTTTTTTTTTGGGTATCTTAAAACGTGTTCGGGGCGCCCACAAAAAACCCCCCCAAAAATGATTTTTTCCCCCCCTTTTTTCCCCCCCCCCCCCCCCCTCCCCCCCCCCCTTTTTTCCCCCGGTTTTTTTTTTTTTTTCCCCCCCCCCCCCCCCCCACCCCCCCCCCCCCTATTTTTTTTTTCTTCCCCCCCAGGTGGTTTTTTTTTATCCCCCCCCCAAAAAAAAAAAAACACCCCCCTTTTTTTTTTTTTTTTTTTTTTTTTTTTTTTTTTTTTTTTTTTTGGGGGGGGGGGGGAAAAAAAAAAAAAACCCCCCCCACCCCCCCCCCCCCCCCCCCCCCCCCAATTTTTTTTTTTTTTTTTTTTTTTTAATGCTTTTATCTTAAACGATATCCAATGTTTGTCTTTCGTCTATTATTTGGCGTTCTTAGTACACCTGTTTAAATTTCCTAGGATTTCCCAACTGCCTGTACCACGACGACGTGCAAGATCCACACCAGCCGCACCCACTCCCCGGCCACGAAGACTGCGCCCGTTGCCTGATTCAGCTCCTTTACCCGGTAACAGATACTAAATGAATCTATTTCATTTAATGCTGAAATAATTCAAAGTAGAGGAAATATAGACTATACTGCAGATAGAAAGAGAGAGAGTAGATAATGTATTTCTTTTTATTTATTACAGGTATTATTTCGCCCAGAAGAACCTATTATGCAGAGCCATATGCAGTAACTGTATTATCTGAAAAGTAAGGTCCTGCTAATTTTAGTATAAAAATAGTAGTAAATAATTTAATATTACAAGGCTGGTCTATAGAGAGAGGTGTATATTATTGTTTGAAAACTACTATTTCCACATTTGGACAAAGTGATATAATCATTGTTGGGTACAATGATTATATACTTACACTGATGTCATAATCAATTTAGTCACTTGTAAAATTTTTATCTATAGCTGTCTATTGTCTATGGATATAGCAACACCTACAAAAGCTTATTAACTATTATTAGCCCAACAATTGAAACGATAAATCGATTTGTTAGATTGATGGCGTGTCATATTTGTTACGGTACAAATACACTTGATACATAAGTTCAATTGACAACTATAACCGTTCAAAAAACAACATACGTATTTAAAAAAATAAAAAGATTTTTTATTATAACTAACAAATTCTAATTTATCTAAAATTTAAACAGGTGGGAAATCTGAATGAGTGTAGTTAATCCCTCGACGCAGCTACATTTGTTGACTTACGTAGTTTACTGTAATTATTCAGTCAGGTGTTCAACAAGATCTACATTTCGTCTTTATAAAGTTCATTTAAAAATTAATGGTTTTTACTAGTAATTTTAAGTCTCTAAAATATACGATTCTTTTCATATTCTTCTTCATCTTCGATATTTAATGGATAATAAGACGAACGATATTGTGAAGGTATAATAGTAAAACTAAGATAAAAAATGTGAAAAACAGCATCAAAACTAATGATTGATTTACTTTTGTGAACCTAGAAAGACAGAGAAATATCAGTAATAATTTTTAAAATATACAAAATAATGATCGCCCATTTAATATTTTTCAAGATAATCCAATTCGTCTATTAGTACGTAGATCGTATCGGTATCTTAGCAACGGAAGGAACAACGGTTTCGTATATTAGCCGGGTCAAACATCACTCATGAGTTAAAGGAAATGTTAATCAGGTCACTGGGTCGTAATCTATGGCATATGGGAATTAATGTGATATATAATCGCTAATTCTTCTAATATCTGTCAGGTGGAAGTTCATTGGAATTGGTCACGAATATTTTGACCACCAAAATTTAGTATGCTTGCGTGTCACGAATCACTTACATAAAAGCTATACTTTTCCTAACTAACATTCACGCCGGTCATAGTCGACCTATTTGAGTGCTATCGTAGAATCGCTCTACTTAGAAATTGACTGGCGATCGCTAGTAATTCTAAAATGCTAAATTACTCACACATGTTGTATTTTACAATAACCAACAATTGCTAAACTGAGTTATACTAAAAGTATACAACCCTTCCGTTTTACCATTTTCCAATTTCTGTAAAACGCTAACCTAACTTTCTATTTGCTAATGCTTAGGGGCGTTTGATAGCGATGCGTGGGAAATGATGAGTAGTTAGTAGATATTAGCGCGGGTGAATGTGGCGGGTCGGTCGCGTCAGTAGGAAAAGCCGTCTGGTGCACGGTGGTGGTATGCGGCGGCTTTGCTGCTGCGGGGGCACCGCGCCCGTCCGGCCTACACCCCTGTGTGCCCCTGACCTCGTAGCCGACTTGCCCCTACATACGCGGTAGTTGAACCGAACATCGAATCATATCTAATCTATCACCTTTGAACCATCGTAACTGTAGATATTGTTTCAGACATTCCAGTGCGATAACGAGTTCGCCAGAAAAGCGAACAACTTCACCCGTCAAAGAAGAAAAGACTGTTGACGCCCCAACTTCAGAGATAATTGAATCAGAAAGCCTCTCAAATGCCCCAAGCACACCGTCAATTCGCGTTCAAGATTATTCGGAGAGCCAATCGATAAAAGACCTAGATCATAATATTACTTCTGAACAACCAAACAATACAGAAACTTTAGATGATACTGGAACCTTTGAGAGATCCGATGCGATATCTCAAAGATCTGAACTAGACGAACGAACCGAAATTTCTGTCTCTCGACCTCAAAGCGAAAAATCTATCTTAGATCGCCCAAAGAGCTATTCGCTTGAATCTATAAAGAGATCTGTTGAAGAGGAATCGAAGAAGGTAATTTATGAAAGGGACGTTCGTGTAGCGCTCGCGGAGACCATAATTCCTGCACGACATGAGGATTGGGAAGCGATAGTTAATGGATTGTCTGAAATGGAAAGGCTCGCCGCGGATGAATCGGCGCGAGCCCCAGCTGCTAGTTGGCGGGCAGTGGTCCGTGCTGCATCGACACACGTTAGGTCTTTGCGGTCAAAAGTGGCTCGAGCGGCATGCTCGGCTCTAGGTACCCTATTCGAATGTCGCGGAAAAATTCTAGAACCCGAAGTAGAAGAGGCAACTGGAGCACTTTTAGAGCGTTGCGCAGATGCTAATAGATTTCTTCGGGCTGAAGCCGCCAATGCTTTAGGTCGGGTTGCGTGTGGAGCAGGGTGCGCAAGATCTGGTGTCGCACTGGCCAGGAAAGGAGCTACACATCGCGCCGGCCCCGTTAGAGCGGCCGCTGCACAAGCCCTCGCACGGTTAAGTCGGCACGCAGGTCCGTCTAGAATTTTGGAACTTCCACCCGAACCACGGGTCGTAATATTGAGAGCAGCTGGTGAACTCCTCGGTGATGCTCATCCTGAGACCAGGCTCCACGCCCGACATTTATTCGTTTCACTGTCTGAAGACCAGCGATTTTATCAAATGCTGAAAGACTCTATGACACCGAGCCGGTACCGCGCAATCGAAAAATTTGTGGAAAAGTTAAGGTGTCGTTAAAAATCCACTATGGTTCCTTAAATTATACCTGTTAGTGCTAATGGCTACTTTAACATACTGCCGGTACGTTCCCCAAAAGTTGTAAATAATTTTTATTATATACAGACAGATATTATATTAAAAACAAATTGCAAGTATAATTAGGTACTGTTTTGTATATATATAATTAATTGTTTATAGTTTGTAAATATATTAAAATTTTAAATAAATACCAATATACTTACATTTTGATTTACCGTAATTATTAATATTTGCAATTTGCTGATTTTTTATTAAATATAACTGGACGCAGCAACTTAAAATCCAAGGAGAATAAAAACCATTGTGTACACCTGTAATCTTTGAATAAGTTGTCTTATAATCTTGTATCAAAACAGTACAAGGTACTGACATAATAATGTCATTACGACTGCCTCGATTTCACTTCCCATATTTTTAAAATTTTGATTCTAAATTATGTAAGCAAGTCCCAAATATTACATAAGAAACTAGACATGCCTTTACACCCGGAGCTGTCCACGGCATCTCTTATAAAATTGACGTCATTTTTATGTTGGAGTTGGTCATACATTTATTGCGCGGCAAAAGTACCTGGGAAGTGCCCCGAGTGGTATTCCAGGGCGGTGACCCTGGTACATGGCAGTGTGGCTACGCTGGCGGGGCTGTGGCAGTGCGACGTTCTCAATTTATCACGAAAACGTCTAACCAGTAAGATCTCATTCACGTTTCAACCCAAAAGATCCGTGAACCTGTGAGTATTAAAGGCAAATTTACATTTCCTTCCTCCGGCTTCAAACAGGACCCACGTGTTAGAGTAGCCTAACTGAAATTTTATGACTTGAGTTAGTTATATTTTTTAGTCTAAAAATGTTAATCCACAAGAGCACAGTGACCGAAAATCTATTTCGCCTAAGTTAATTGCCCATTTTTATTTTCCTTCTTATTGAAAATTATGTTTTTGTAATTAGGCCACTCTGCGTCTAATAATAAGTAATTGAATACAGGTAAAATAACAGCGGCTCACTATTCCGTGATGGTGTGGTCATGGGGTTACTTCGCATTCGACCTTCTCTGGTGTATTATATATTGGACGGATAGCTACGTGATGCTGATTCACCATCTCAGCGCCCTGATCGCCATAAACGTTTACATGGGGAAAGACTATACTGGCTGCACTTTTCCATGCACATTGGCGTTGATGGAAATAACAAATCCATTACTGCAAGCAAGATGGTAATACATTTTGTTATGGTACTACAAATGTTTTTCTACAATAGTAGAAAAACATTTGTTACATTTTTTTATAAAAAAAAATTTTTTTTTCAATAGTAGAAAAACATTTGTAGATTTAATTTATAAAAAATGTTTACTCAGCCAGGAACTATTGCCACTTCCAGGTTCTTAAGATATGAAGGATACGATAAGGTCATTTTATATTATGTGGTGGAGATAATATATCTGATATCATTCATAGGACTGCGAGGTATATTTGGGACTTACTTGACATATAAAATATTACACTCGGACATATTTGACATGGATGAAAAATTAATATCACTTGTGTTCTACATAGTGTCCCTAATCTTCATCTCTGAAATCATAGGCTATGTTGCCTACAAATATAAGACAAAAATTGTAAGTATTGCTTCTTTCCGCTATGTGGAAGTATTAAAATTACTGATTTTTAACTATTTATCTTATCTCTTTTGAATAAACATTAATAATAAAAGCGTCTTTATTATATTGTTAGGTTACTTATAACTGAAACTTACGACTAACTTTAGCACATATCAGAAACATTGAAAATTAAAGTGGGTAAATGATGGTTTCAATACATATTTTACAGGAGGAATTCAAGGGATTTCTTATTGAAGTTGGATACATATTAAATGGACACTGGTGAAAAATGTTCATGTCAGAATAATTGCACAATGCCAGTGCAATCAATTTGTAAAGCTGTTTATTGTAGACAGGAAATTGCATTTGTAAAAGAACCGTAACAAATGTTAATATTCCAGTAAAATTATTTTTTAATAATAAAACTAAAATAAGTTTTACTTGAACTAATCTAACAATAGAAGTAAATTGTAAATAATAAACAAGGATTTCTTGAATTAAAGCACAAGCCGGAGTGGCACAGTCGTAAAAGAATACTTGTATATTATCTCTATCTATAGCTAGTCCCGTCTATGATGTCTCTGATTTTTTCTATCTCGCCAATGGCTCGAGCGCTTCTTTTTATTGTCTCTGTGCCTGTAGTCATCCCTCGCATATGGACGGCTTTCTTTTTGTTTATAAGGATGATGTCTGTGAGACCAATTCCCTTGTAAACTAGCTAATACAAGGGCATCATTCATTTCATTCCTAAATAAAGGAACAGGTCTTTGAGTGTCATCTTTCATCTTCTCTGTCATGTCTTCAAATTGCTGAATAACAGAGGTGTCATGGAATTCTATGGGTACTTCTGTACCATATGCACGAATTGGTGGGGGTAATGGTACCATTTGGCCTCTGCATTGTATAGATAATGTCCTATTGTAGAGTGCTGTTCCACTGAATAAATTGAGAGCATATGGCACTGACACCTCATGTCTATAAGTTATAAATGCAAAATTACGCTGTCGACCATCTCGATCTCTTGGGATTCTCACTTTTTCAAGAGGACCTGCCTGAAAGCAAAGATGTATGAATATGACCTTCACAACAAATTATGATCGATATATATCCGATTACCTGCAAAAACAACTCGTAAAGTAATTCCTCATTTACTTGTTCAGATAAATTTCCGCACCAAATCGTTTTAGTGTCTTCTTCGGACATGTTGCGAAGATTTCAATTTGTATGAATTTTATTTACCCATATACCCAGTCCATCAAAAGGATGACTTCATATGGAAACAAAATGATTTATGTTTGTAAAAATATGAGTACTTATTACAAATACATAACGTTTGTTTGATTATCTCTATTTTGTAAATGATTATTAAGAACTAGGATGTTTTTGACAAAGTGAACCACGGCTAAAGGCTGTCAACTGCTGACGTTGACAATTGTTTTTTAACGACAATTTATATCATCTATGTTATGTATATAACATAGATGTATATCTGTGGTTACAATATGATCAATTGTCACTTGACAGTTAAGAAAAAGCCAGTTTTAGTGGCAAAAAAGTTACGCATGTTGCTACTAGCTGAAATTCAATATATCGTAAAGCTCCTCTTAGTTCTTTTCACATTAAGAATATTTCTATCCAAACTGTAATTGGGAGTCGTGCGGTGTGCAGTATGGCTCAATCATTTGTAAGTGTTGAATAAAACTCCTGCTGCAAAATTTCTTGATCTCATTACTACGTAAAGGTTTTGGATTTCTTCTAGTTTAAAGTAACATCGCTATGGACGACTCGAGTAAATTTCAGCAGATGCAAGATGAGATGTCCAGGTACATTATAAATTATTAAGTCTCCTCTGCCTTGTGTTCTGAGCTTGTACCAAGCATAATAATTGTAATATCATTTTTAGATTCGAGGCAGAGATCTCTGGGGCTGGAGCTCCAACTCTGCGACCCGTGATTGGAGCTGCTACCTTTGGGGCTGTTCAGCAACAACTAGAACGTTCTTTGCCACCTCCACCTCCACCACCTACTTTACTTGCATCATTTGACCCTAATGTCATGGGGGCCAGGATGATGTTTCCTGCCGTCCCTCCACCACCACCACCACCATCGATGATGGTACCTGCTTCTGTAAGTGAAAAAAAGTGGAATGTCTGTATTGTACATTATTTACAAGACTCATAGATGTTAGTGTGTGTGTCAGTTTTACTGATAATTATTTGTTTGCAGATAAGTGATAAGTATCAATTGTATTTATATTTTAAGGTCCAGAGATTACGACCCAATAGTGGACCGCTGGACCAATTCCCCGGCGCAATGGCTTTTTTACGACCTGGAATGCCAGGACCTCAATTGATCCCACCTCCACCAGCTCCACCAAAGCCACAACCGGTCATATTATCAGCAGCTCCCAAGTTGTATAAACAGCCTAAAGAAGACGAAGACAGATATGATAAAGAGGGAAAGAAAAAGGTTAGTTTAAAATACAATCTTTCAAAATTTATACTATCGGGGTAGAATAAATATGTTTGTGGATAACAAGAAAGAATTGTTAAAAACATTATTACATATCATGCATTATACCTACTGCCACAAGAATTTTTGGGCTCTTGGGACTACTGTGCCAAGTTTTTGTACCTGAAATGTCATTCTTATATTAACATTTTCTCTGCCATTGCAGTCAAAGCTGACCTACAGTGTAATTTTCCTATAGGTCGAGTAAAAAATGTGTTTCTCAACAATATGAGTCAAGATATTTTTTTGCTGATATGATTTTATATTGTATTCAAATTTATGTTATTTTTAATGACATTGATTTTGGGTTATCATTGAAAATAATCAGCCTAGGGTGAACAAAACGTCATTCTGGTAGAGTGAGTGGTCGCGGTAGGGGATCGGCTCGCCTCTGTTTAAAAAAAATTACATTTGTTCTCTAATTGAATGTCCCTTGATATGTCCCATCAAATGCTTAATGAGTTACCAGAGTGAATAGCATCTATAGATGTTAGGCATTAAAATAAAAAAAATCAACAAGATTAATATCTTTTTAAGAAACGCCCACGTCCCTTGACCCCACCATCTGAAATGGAGAAGCCACCATCGCCTCCGCCAGCACCACCCCAACCATTACCCGTTGTATCTGAGATGCTTGCTCCAAAGAAAAAAGAGAAGAAACATAGAAAGGTACATGACATACTAAGCTTATCTTATTATTTGCTATCTATACATTCACCTAATTTAAGTATATTTTTCGGATCATATAATGTTGTAATTTCTTATCCATTCTAAAATTGAAGTAATTTCATTGAAAATAGGAGAAAAATAGCTGATTGTGTGGACTGATCACCCGGCCTTCTACATGTGCCCTCGATAGAAAATAATACATAATTAACTGACAAAAATTTCTAAAACACAGTATGTAATGTTTTTTTGTCTTTTCAAGATGTTACGAATATGATATGTTGTGCTTAAATTAAAAATCAATTTATGTTAAAAAAATTACTTCCTCTAACCAATTAAGCTAACATGTATGTTCTTAAATAATATTCCGACGTTCTTTTGTTTATTAAATTTCAAACTCTTCCTTTTATTTAAATAAAACACTTTAACGGTTTAAAACGCAATATATTAGTTAAACTTATTTGAATTTAACTTCGGCCCGACTTGTAAGGACCCGGTCAGTTTCGCCAAATGCCAATTTCGACAGAACAGATGGCTCTAGCATAGCAATTTTTTACTTTGACGTCAGAGACATCCTCCATCTTTAGTCTCCCCGTGACCACGGCTGCTGCAAAGCATCCGAAACGTCGGGCCGAAGTTAAAAATCATTATCAAATAATTTTCAACTAATATATCGTGTTTTAAACCGGTAAAGTGTTTTATTTAAATGTGTACTACTCGCGTAAACTATAGACAGTATCTTCCTTTTACGTTACAGTGTCATATTAGTAGTAGTTTATAATTTTAAGATAAGCTTCTAATGTTGTAGTAATTTTATGTAGTATGCTGTATAATACTAATCATAATATATTTCAGGTAGTAAGAACAGCTGGTGGTCAAGTATGGGAGGATGTAACGTTATTGGACTGGCCTGATGATGACTTCCGTATGTTCTGTGGAGACCTGGGGAATGACGTCACGGATGAATTACTTGTAGGTTTTTAATGACTACCATTATGTATTTATCTGATTTTTATTGTGTACGAAATATGTATAATTCATGCTTCAATGTTTAGCTTTTAAAGGACTTTAAAAATTTAGTGTGTTTAGTCATATAAGTCTATGCACTTGTAAATAAAATTGATTAGAAAACAGACTCAAACATATGTCCTATATATAAAAGGGAGTTCACAGCATTTTTATTACTTATTTTAATGCTGTATACACATATACAGTTATATGTATAGATGTATGTTTAAAAACATATTTAATTCTTCAGGCTCGGACCTTCGGGAAGTACAGTTCATTTCAAAGGGCTAAAGTGATCAGAGACAAGAGGACAAACAAGAGCAAGGGTTTCGGTTTTGTCAGCTTTAAGGATCCTGGAGACTTCATTAAGGCTATGAAAGAAATGGATGGTATGTTTGTAATTTAGTTATGTGTTTATGTGGTTTCTTTTTTTTTCTAAGTCGAGTAAATCTTTTAGGACGGTATGTGGGGAGTCGACCAATAAAACTGCGCAAGAGCACCTGGAAGAACCGCGCTCTCGACGTCGTCAGGAAAAAAGAGAAGGAGAAAGCTGCCCTTCTCTCTCTACTGATGTCCGCTAACAAGAGCTGATACTAGTCGATAAAATGACATTTTCATTGATTCATCTTTACTAAGACTATGGTAATGCAAATTAAATAAATTGATTTAAACAATTAAATGAATACATAGTAATTTTAGTTTCTGATTCTTAATGCTTTCGTCAATGGTCGAAACCCCCATTGTAAACTTCTCCAAGTTAAAAAGGAGGTCTGACTTGCTTTAATAAAAAAAAAATCAAATTAATAAATAATTTATTACGAATTCTTTGGCTACACAACAATATAAAAAATGGTATTGTACTTTCTTGAAACATTAATTGAAGCTATAAATTTTAGATTAGCTTTTAACAATTTTATGTACCTAACATAAAAGTACTTACACTTACTACATGGTTTAGACTTAGACTAGGTGTCGTTTAAGCTATTTTATTGTTATAGCATTATAAAAACGTCTTGGCCCTCCAAAAGAAACGCTCATTCTCTTCAGTAGGCCAAGCCACAGGATGTATTTATTTTTGTTTTCATTCCTAACACTGGCGACTTGACTTTGTAATTTCGAAGGAAAGTTAGGTAATTACTTTTATTATGATAGAGGTGGACAGACAAGCATGGGGGGAGGGTACCGCACGCAATATAAAATGAATGAATGAATAATAGGCTCTGTCGTGTGTGCCCCCCCCCCCCCATTCAATTATTATTTAAGACCTTCAGGCCAAGTCTAACTATGACCTACAAACTAATGAATTTGGGTAATAAGGATAGTTTACTTAATATTTTATACTAATATTTAAGGTCTGGAATGTTATAGTAAATAATATTAGTTAATAATATTGGGGGTGGGAGTGGGGGGTACTCGGGTTGTCCTCTTTTTATATGAGCTCCATTTCAGATTTTTTCAAGACATGTCCGTTTGTGGCCTAAGCCTTGAGCAGTCCTCTTTGCTTTGATTATTATTAACTTAAATCCGGAAAGCTACTGCAACTCGCATACTTCGCTACTGTTCTACTACATACACTAATTTACTAATTCAGTTCGCTAATTATTCGTTATAGTAATCTAAAGTTGTATTGGTGGCTAAGTTTTTAATTCTTCGCGAACGGAGTCGTACTACGGGCCTCGGTCGGGTCCTGGGAGGCTGAGTGGTTGTGGCTGCTGCAGCGTACTGTTTATCTAGACAGCATCTGTCGTCGCCTTCCTTCAACCCCGTGGTGGACGGGCAGAAGGGGGCTGAAAAGTCTTCTAGACAGTATGCGCCCGATGCACTAAAACCAATAAGAAATACTCACTCACACAGGCTCGTATCACTATTTTTGTTTACTATAAACGGCTCTATCCAGTTTAAATGGATGCACAACGTATTGTTTATGATCACAGTGCAGAGAAGAATAAATAATTATAACCAAAATATCTATGAAAACATTTTTTAATGAATTATTTTTCATATCACAGAGAAGAACAAAATTCAGTTAGTAATCGGTGAAATAACGCCGTCACAATACATCGAAGTATGATGTGGTGTCGTCCTATTTTGGCTAACGACCACAGACTAAATTTGAAACATTAAAATTTTTCTTTTGTGCGTTTTTCAGACGGTACTTAGTGATCGGCACGGAATTTCGATATTGCTACCACCTATTTAATAACTCAGTTTCTAGACGAAGTCCAACATGCCTTAGATAAATATAAATTGATTAGACAATATGTTGGCCCCAGTGGAAAGCCCTACATTGCTCGCATGTCGCATGAAGAGCTTAATACATACGTCATAGGTGCCGGCTGACCCAGCAGCACCGGCATCGCGGAGGCCCTCGCGGGCGGCGTTCTGACGGAGCACCTTCGGCCACATGGGGCGGCAGCTCGCGGTCTGAACAAACTTTCCGCTTGGTAACAGACCGACCATACGTGGCTGCAAAGCGCTTCGTCTGTTCATAATGAAATTATCATTAGGAAACTGCATCAAATTATAATATTTCAAGTAAGTTTGAAATTCAAATATTTATAACACTCCAATAACCTCTACTGTATACTTTAAGATATTACCGACACGACCGAGTACGAAATAGAATACTACACTTGTAATATAAGTGAGTATGCTACTTTATCACTCGTTGCATTTAATTAATACTGGCTGTGTCAGCGACTTCGTCTATTTGTATTAGTCACAGCCTTCCTCGACCAACACAAAAATATTTTTTTCAATTCGAACCGGTAGTTCCTGAGATTAGCGCGTTCAAACAAACAAACAAACTCTTCAGCTTTATATATTAGTATAGATTACATGTTAATATGTGCACTGTTTAACAGACGAACAGCAAGGTTTTGCTGATAATCATTGCTGTAGCTTAACTGTGCAGCAACTTAGACTGACGCAAGATCATTTTGGTATCACTTTCCTTCTAGGTTAACTTAATTTTACATCTATATACCTATATTTTTTAATGTTAATTATAATTCTTAACATTTTTGTATGAAAACTATCGTGCTGCTGGTGACAGACAGCGAAGTTTTTGTGCGTAATATGGCTCCGTTTTATTCTTGACTTATGGAAACTCATAAAATGATTGAATTACAGTTTTTTGTATGAAATAAACTATTATTAAGAAATTCATCCACGCAGGTTATATTATGCAAAAATAGTAGGTACGCATATTAGTATACATAATATGTCCATAACTTACTGGGTGTGTCTTCGCAAAAGGGTTGGCTTCGGCCCCCGTTGAGGCAGAAATCGGCGTGGCCCAATCTCGCCCCTTCGCCGTAGCGCCCGGCGTTCGTGTGGAGGACGTGGACGGCCCTGGCGTCCCCCGGGTCGAGACGAAGCGCTGGAGCCGACCTGATTAACGGACGAGCTGGATCCAAGCCTTTAACATATAGTCTTCAAGATTAGCTATCATGAAGTGAGTGGAAATAAATTATATTTTGATCGTTACTTAAAAGTTTTTGAAGTGACGCTTCGTTACATAACGCGTTATGGCGCCATTTATTCTTTGTATAACCAAAGCCAAAATAAGTTGACGGCGCATCTTGGTTAGATGTAGGGCTGAGACATTTCGTTTTTCTGTTACTTGCTTACATATAAACATACATATTTAGGATAAAATATTTTTAATGTAAAAGTGAAAAATGACAGAGAAAGTAGCCTTGAAGGTTCGAACCGGTTAATTAAGAATAACGACAGATTACGTGGTAAGAAAGTTATTCATTTACGGCGAAGTTTTGACAATGGGTTTTTGTTTTCTCGTCTGTAATTTTACTTTGTTTATGGAAAAATTTTACAAATATAATATGTATTGTTTTATATTATAATACAATTTATCTGAAAATCAGCAAAACTTAGCCAAGAAGAATACTAAAATAATAAAAAACTAAACAACAAAAAAGTAAAAAAGGCTTTCGTTGTTTATTTTATTAAATTACCTTTCTAGATATAAATTTTAATTGCATAAGTGAAAAGGAACTAATTCTTCTACAAATTAGAATCTTGAGTTTATCGTGGAAATTTATGTGTGTTATGTAAGAGGTTTCTCGGGTCCAAGTCCGTATAAAAAACTTTTTAACTCACCAATGATTCTGTTAAGCCTAAAGTTCAGATAGTTAGACATGATTCCACACAAATGCGCTCCCAACGAATGCCCGACGCACGTGAGCCTGTCGGGTCTCAATCCGGCACGACGTAACGTCGCCAAAGCTTCCGCGACGCACCTGGCGACCGGACGAAGGTTGTGCACGGCGGCCACGTAACATGGCGGCTGGCAGAGCTGGCCCCAGTCCAGCATAAACACATTGTAGCCTCCGCGACGGAGATAAGCTAGAAGGGAAGCAAAAAAATAATGTTGTCAAAAATCCTTGCTACAAGACCTATGACAAGCGTAGGCTTATTATTTTGGTCAGAAAGCATCAAGATTTTGCGAAGAGAATACCCGAGATCTAATTCAATATGTGCTGCCGAAGAAAGTATTTTGGAATGTAATATTGGATAAAATAAAAAAGTGGATGGCATATATTGTAACAAGTAAAATCAAAGAGAAAGCAATGAGAAAAGTTCATTGATGTCAAATATGCATTGCACTGGTGCAGCACTTTCACTACATCAAGTATATTTTGTTTTAATCTCATGTAAAGACCCATTTTCAAATAATGCGCTCTTTCCTAGTATTGCGTCCTTTTTGAGGCGATTTGTAATACCGTAGAACTCTTTCTGTACTGACGCATTCACATAGCTGATTATTGCAATTTTAAATGTAGATTTTACCGATAACACTGCAAAGTTTTAAAACGCTAACCTTTTTATGCCATACAAGAGTAACAATACGTACCATCTCGAAGAACAATAATGGGTAGCGTATCGTCGCCTCCAGCATAACCGTGCACAAGTAAGATGGTCTCGTGCGATGGTTCCCAGCTGCTCTGCCGAAGCCAATCTTCGCTAAACAGGTCCACCTGTAAATATGTTTATTCTTCTTAAACACAAATCACAGCATATTGCTTCTGATATCGAATACCCCAAATTAAAAAAGGTCGAAAGCGCTCTGAGTGATCAGAATGCCCTGACATTCACAGGTGGTACGCGTATTAACCAACTCACCCTAATTTTGATCGCGGTCAGTACAGACCGCAGCCTCTTGGATTACGTTACTTACAAAATATAAGTAAGAAACACTCGCGGATGCAAAAAGGTACAAAGAGGGTGCCACTTTTTCTACAACCTATTGTTCACTTTAAGAAAGTTGTAGAACCAAAAGTGACAGTTTCACAATTAGTATTCTTCACAGGCGTTTCTAACGGGTGACCTACGCGGCCGAATAACTATGAGTACATACATACATATACGCATATCGGCTTCGTCCATGAACTGCTTTTAAACTATCGTAATGTGACCCTAAGTATCGGCCGTTTCAAAGAGTTAAGTCTTACTTCATTCCGCCACTTATAGACGCAAAAACATCTTTGTTATAAAACAATGGCTTTTGTAAAAAGTACTAGCTAAGTGGGTCATAAACAAGATATTTAATTGGAATCTATTAAGTTATACGCAATAACATTAATTATAATAATTATCTTCAGTTGTCTTTAGCGTCTAACATAGGTAATCTTTAACAAAATTTGTGGTAAAATTGAAAGATCAAATTTGTGTTTAAATTGTTGCCGATTTAAAAATATCCGATTAATTGTCACTTTGGAACCTTATAGATTATATTTTTAACTGTTAAAATTATTCACGTATTAATAGCCATCCTCTAAAGTCTAAACGTATAATTTATTTTACGAGTAAAGTATCTAGCAATAATTTACTTTTTGTATAATTTTTTTTGTAGATTGAAAGTTCAATAATAACAGTCAGACATAATCAATAACTAAAAATTAAGGTAAAATGGACTTACGGTTTTCTTGTAAGGTTCAGCTTCAGTGTACAAATTGATCGTTACATTGGGATCGGGGCATGGCTCTCGTTCGCGTTTCCAAACGCAATCTTCCAATGTAGCATTCCCAAAAGTGTCGCTGTTCAAAAACAAAGCCTCTTTTATTGGCTTTCGCTGAGACGTTACCCCTAAAAATAATTCCATTGGTATATCCTTTAAGGAATATTTGAATGAAAAATAACAAAATTTGTGTCATAACATAACAGTCGGAACGTGTACTCGTATTGTTATGACACAAATTTTCACAATTTCCGCTTTTTCACGCGATGTAGACTATTTTCTAAACAAATTTTAATTAACCACATACAAAAAAATCGCCATAATATACGAATTAGTCATGTGAAAATATTTTAAAATTATATTTTTCCTAAAATACTAACCAGATATAAAAAAAGATTGCGACGACGATTGAAATATTTTTATTAAACCGAAACATCCTTGCGCGTGCGCATACTACAGTACACTGCGACGCGCAGGACTTGGCGGGGATTTCATTACACTGTCGCTCCATGTGCAATGTTGTCACTACAATATTGGAAAGTGTCTAATGTGCCAAAAGCGAAATACACGTATGTACGACAATATCTAAAATAATTCTTGCTTTTGTCCCTTTTTCAGAGTTCCAAAAATAATAGATTTTTGTCTGTTCTTTTTTATACAGCTTCTTTTTACTTTATTATTTAATAATTATTTATTTAAGTTCGCCTTTAAACGTCTAGGTCATGACCACAAAAGGTAAAGTGTAGCGTAGGATAATAATTTAGTAATAATCTTAAAATGAATAGAACCCTAGATTTACTTATAACACACGTAATATAAACTTATTAACGATAAACCATACTCTAAGATAAATAGCTAAATACAATATAAACATAATTTAAATAAAAAGTTCGGTTTAGTTTACTTTATTTTTGTTAATACTTACTCGTTTTAGGAGTCGGATATCCACGATGACCCTAAACCTCCTCCTTCACCAAGTATACCGGAATATTAATGTTTTTAAAGAATGCCCTACTCAAAATAGATGCCTGAAATCGCTCACTAAAATCGATCTTATATTACATGCGCGTGCGCGTGAGATAGATGCAAAAGAGTGAGACGGAGAACCAGAAAAGCCTTCACAGCGCAGGTATAGTAACATCGAGCCAGTCAGAGCCACGCGCCCCGCGCGCGCCCGCGTCTTGCCATAATACAAACATACGATAACCTTATTCTGATTAAGGTATGTGCAATATATTGAACGTAAAAACGTGGCTACACTGATCTATATATTACGATTCAAGTGATGGACCGGATGGATGGAAAGTTAAGGAAACAAAAGTAAAACCGAGTGTGACTTGAGTGAGCACTTAATGTGCGAATGCCACGGTCCACGGCCTACGCAGCCGGCGGCGTTCCCCTCCATTCATTCGTTGCCCATTCGTTGAACCTATGTCGCTTCAATTGTACGAACGCAATCTCGATTTGGAAATGTACTTGATGCGCATGCAGTGTTTACGGTTTGCCGACAGTTAAAGCGAATCAACGATGTCAATAAGTCAGGACACGGATCAGTTCAACAAACATAAACAACAACTAGGCAAACAGGGCGCCGACCTGGTCAATTTTCCTCCGCGCTACCATCCGCCACCACCTGCCGCCGCGGGCTCGAAACAAGTCAGTGCAGACGCAGCTATTAAAGAGTATAAACCTCCTTATATCCATTCTAAAGCGATAGACTCAAAGCCGCAATATCCATTCGGGTACCCCGTGCAACTACCGGGGCCCTACTCGGGTGTACCGTACTCTCAGTTAAAATATCCTCCGGGATACCCAATAGGGTACCCAGTGCCCCCTGCGGCGCTACGTATGCAGAGGCCTTCAGGTGAAGTCGTCACTAAAGCGATTGTCCACGAGCCCGTCGAGTCCACGGCGAGAGCTAGGAGCGCCGACGACACCCAACGACTCGCGCAAAGAAACTTTGAAGAGGAACAAATACATAGGAGGTCGGCGGATATGCTCAAATTCACGAAACGCATGGAACCAGACGGGCCGAGACAATCCACAGACCAAAGACGACAAATACAAGCTCTTCTAGACGAAATAAAGGCGTTGAAAGAAGCTAACCGTAGACTTAGCGAGGATAACCAGGAGCTGCGAGATCTGTGTTGCTTCCTGGACGACGACCGTCAGAAAGGGCGCAAATTAGCGAGAGAGTGGCAGAGGTTCGGTCGATACACAGCGTCGGTGATGAGACAAGAGGTGTCAGCGTACCAAAGTAAACTGCGAGAGTTAGACGACAAACAGCAAGAATTGATTCGGGATAACTTAGAGCTAAAAGAATTATGTCTTTACCTAGACGAAGAAAGGGAGAGAGGGACGTGCGTTAACTGCGGCCGAACGACAGCTCGAGAAAGGGACGACGGCGACGGCAGCAGTAGCGGGACAAACAACGAGGAAGTCACGCGGCCGCCCACCACCCCGGCTCCAGTCAGTCACCCGCAATTGGCAGAGAGAACGGTACAATATGTCCGCGACTTAGAACAAAAGGTTAGAAGACTAGAAGCGGAAAAGGGTTTAGGCACAGGGCTCGGCGAAAGGCCAGAAGCGGTAGTACGAGCCCTTCAAGTCCTCGAAGTGAGAGAGCGAGTGGAGAGGGAAAGAAGAAGACCGGCTCCCGACCTGGATACGGGTGAACAAGCTTTAGTCCGCGAAATGTGTAATGTAGTCTGGGGTAAACTGGAGGACGCACCTTCGCAGGCACCGCCTCGTTGATGGCGAAAGTGTATGGAATTTGAGGAACTATATCTGGTCTAGACCCGTGTCGACGAGAAATGAGTGAAAACCTGTTTAGTATGCAGCATTTGATTGGAATTCGTTTCGATTGAGGTCGTCGGCTCTCATGGCCTAAATCCACACTTTAAGTACGAGACTGACCTTGTTTAAGAATGGTTTGTCTTATTCGAGGAAGATAAATATCAAATATACATGGTGTTCAATTAATGTGTATGTACAGTATGTTTAAAATGCCTTGCCAGATCAACGTTGCTCGCTTGCATTGAATAAAGTACAAAATTAGATTAGGGGTATGTATTTTGTTTTAGTTTGGTTAATTTTTACGCGCTATGATAGGTATGTACTCATTTTGCATATGAGGCTATTAAGTTTCCTTTTTTGAAGTCGGTTTAAAAATATTAACTATTCTGCACTTAAGTGCAAAATATCACATTTCTCTCAAGCTAAGCAAGTAACTGGAGTAAATATTTACTTTGTATTAATTACATACTAAGGTCTATTTTAATTTAATGTATCTGTTATATGTAATTTAGTCAATGTTTTTAATTTATTTCACTGACGAATAAATCAATTCTGTTTTTATGTTGTTTTCCATCAGAGCTCCCAAATCAGATTATAATTATATTCTCTTTACATCGTGAAACCATAAAATACTGCTGAAACAAATAATAACAAGAAAAAAAGCAGAAACTTTTAATACTTTTAGGTACGTTCATATGTTCATAGTAATAATAATATTTATCATTTGTGACAAATATCAATTGCATTACTCGTAAAACAATGAGTAAGTCGTAATAAGCTGTGCTACGGTAACTTTTCCACTATGATCAGCAACTTCTATATAAAACCTCATTAATGTAATTCTTTTAAAAACATAAATGACAAACACCTTACTTCGATTAGCAGTCTATAACTAATAACGTAGCTTTTCGATATAAAACGGAATATTGTCGTTCGTATTAGAATAAAATGGCAGAAGAGAAAGGCGAAGGCCCGGAAGACGTAGATACTATCGGAGTACGTAAACAAGATAGGTTTAGCTTCTCAAATTCACGCGCGTTGAACTCTTTTCTTAGTACAATACTTGAACCACTGTATAATTGCAGAAGTGTTGTATAGAAATATTATTTTATTTCATTAATAATAACCACAGTTTTAATTTGGTAATAAATATTTTCTTAATTAGAGATTAAATAAATATTGTCAGTATTTCTTAGCTTTGGAAAAAAGTGCTGTACAAAGCAATCCTAACGTACCTATCTATTTATATTAGAGATAGTTTATTTTTTAATTGGTATGTAACATATATTGTATTTATACAATATATACGCGTAGAAAAGTTATTTTGGACATCAACATTACAGTTGTTGACCACAACTTAGGGTCCCGTCGTAATAGCAAGCTAATCTTAAAAGATAGACATAATATACGGTCGCGGAATTTTTTAGTTATTAAAAGAGGAACCATTCTTTCATATATATTTTTAGGTAGGTTGAACCTTTTTCGCAGCGTACGCAACGCAGTCCCACAAATATAAATATTTTTTCCCATGTTTTTCACATCTCCCACGGTTTCTTCGCTCCCATTGGTCGAAGCCGATGTATTATAGCCTTCCTCAATAAATTGTCCAACTAACACAACAATATTTTTTCAATTTAAACCAATAATCTCAAATTTTAGAGCGTACAAAAAAACAAACTCTTCAGCTCTATAATATAGATTTAGAAATAGTTTTAAAGATATAATTTAATATTTTGTTTTCAACATTAAACGTACTTTTTCTGTACTCTCCGGTTTCCCTATCTACAAAATACTAAATGTTCAGCGTATGCCGTAGATTTACGTAGGAGGCCGCAATGTCGACGGGGAGCGTCATGGAGAAGGCTGGGCAGTTCTACCGAACGGCGATTTTTACCAGGGCTGCTACTGTCGGGGTATGCGCAGTGGAAAAGGGTTGTATGTGTTCAAAAATGGGGCGCGTTATGAAGGTACGTAAGACTATAAGCCTTTTGCTTTATACATCGACTTTCCACTGATACTTAGAGCGACAGTAATATTTTTATTGTGGTCAAAATAAATGATAGCAAGTACTTGTATCGTATTGTTGGTATGGAATTAACATAGTATAAATACATTAGACAAGCAATAACCTTTTGTTCGATAGCAGTATTGGTTTACAAACTGTCTGTAGTTTACGCGAGTAGTACACATTTAAATAAAACACTTCAACGGTTTAAAACTAGAAATACATTAGTTTAACTTGTTTCCCCGTGATTACGACAAATGATTTGCTATGGCCCGACATAATTTACAAGTTTAACTAATAATTTCGGTTTTAAAGTTTAACGGTTAAAAAAATATAATTTTAGGGGAATGGAGGAAGGCCATGAAGTACGGTGTTGGCCAAATGATTTACCCAGATGGGTCCCGTTACGAAGGAGACTGGCGCCACGACCTGAAGCAAGGCTTCGGAGCCTACTATTACCCGAATGGCGATATTTATGAAGGAGCGTGGTTTAAGGGCAAACGACATGGACTTGGAACCTACTTCCTTGCTGAGTATCAGGTTCTGTTTTTTACGCCGTGCGAATCCAACTGCGTGTAGTCCTGCTACTACACGCAGGTGGATTCGCAACCACCAACCAACACATGTCTCATGATAACTTCTTATAGGATAGCAAATAAGAAATAAATCTACTTAAATCCATATTCTTACGGATACCTCGCAGGTCTATTGTTCCGAGGTATAGAATAGTGTGTGTTTTTGTTAATTCCCTATGTGGAGTGTCTGCCCATACACATTTTTAAGTCCATTTAATCGATTGATTTCATTTAGACAAGTAAAAAAAAACATAAAAAAAGTAATTGTGTATAGTTGACCAGTCTACCCGGGAGCATTTGTTTTCCCAGGAATCGAATCCAGAACCCTTTCCTCCTTAGGAGATAAGGTGTCTAAAACAATGTAAGTACGATGAGAAGTAACCGAATTTTTAGATAAAATTCATGGGCACATGGGTGGAGGGTGTAATTGAAGGTCCGGGACAAATAATATACCCCCGCGTTAGATATCACGGATCGTGGTTAAGAGGCAAGCCCAAAGGCCCTGGATGCTTCGTTTTTGATACTAATTGCATGCAACACGGTTTTTACTTGCTCATGAAAGATCCAGCTTTTGAAGAATACGGTGAAGGGGAAGAAGAAAAAGAGGATAAGGAAGTGAAAGAAGAGAGACCGGAGGAAGGTGGTGAAGAAGAAATTGAAATAGATGAAACTTTGGGTAAAATGCCTGAGATTAGACGACCAAAACTATCCCTAGTTATATTTTTTCTATATTACAAATTAAAATATACACGGTGTAAAACGTTGAAGTCCTTTTTAATTCTACTAGCAAAACCAAACATGTTTAAAAATATGAAAGTACCATTCTTAATTTTTATACAAATCAATATAGAAAAGTCTGATATAAATTTCAGGAAAGATTGCTGTGTGGCGTGCTCGCAACGTGACGGCTTATATGGCGGAGTTCCTTCCACCTGAACCGGTTCCACTTCCAGTACACGACTCCATCCCTTCACTGTCAGAGGAGAGTATAGAAACAGATATCATTCAGTTTGAAATGCCGTCCGTGGTTGCGGAGGAGGAGGGCGGTGATGACAGCGACTCCTGGCTTATGCATAGGCAGAAGTTCTTGGAAGAAACTGAACAGAAGGGCTAGTCAAGACGATTCAGTAATCGGGGCCATAATATTAATAAAGTCTACAAAAACTTGCCTCCCATTTATTTTATTACTTGAGCTAATAAGGTAAGTTGATTTTTATTAGCTTAAATTACTTTTCATTACTTATACAGGCTGTGCCTGTGACTTTGTCCGCGTAAAATAGTCATTTTGGGCATCAAAATTATTTTTGCAAACCTCATTTCACCTTTATAAAATATAGCTGTTGCCCTGCCCACGACGTCGTTGGTGTCCCATTGTGGCATGTTAATCTAAAAAAGGGATCAGTAAACCCTTAAATATTATATTTTGAATGTAAACCTTAAACGTATACACAGAATTTTGCCTGTATTAAACATATAAACTACCAACAGAAGCCTAAGTTTAATCATTTCTATAAATGTTTTAACCAAAACGAAAATAGTTTTTCAATTTGAACCAGTTGTTCCTGACATGACTGTGTTCAAACAAAAAATCTTCAGCTAATGCTAGTATAATGTTAGTCTCCAGCGTAACTAATGAACACAACAATTTGTATACCAGTTGTCGCTTATACCATATTTAATGATAATGTAATGTGTTAGGGAAGTAAACATATAAAGACAAGTAATAATTAATCAAATGTTTAATATTAATAACTAGATGAACATCCTGCATCCGGTCCTTGTACCGATTTTAAAGCTAAATGTATTGTTTTATGGTAAAACAATCTTTCTCAAGCCAAAGTTTTAGAGAATAAGACATAATTTTAGTAGTAATTGTGTATGTTAAATGTTGCTTAGAGATTGTACTTGCGAAATGCTTTTCTAACTGTGGCACAGTTCAAAAATTCAAGTTTACAAAATGGCTATCAGATTTAAAATGTTACCTAGGATTGTTGATTTTGTGGTGCATTATTATTAGAGTTAGAATTACTACTGTCAAAGGTGGATTTGTTTTTTAAGAGGTAAGCTGCTAAATAATTTATTGCGTCTGGTGGCCTTTCCTTTGCAAGAGCTGATAGGCCCTGTAGCAATATTGGGACTACCGTTTGGTCCAGATACTGACGTGTTGGCAGCGCATTAAGATCGATTCGAGATTTGCGATTAGCATTTGACTCATTTTCTTTCTCCATTGATAAAATGTTCTGAAACAATGTACATTATTTGTATATATTACAATTGTCGAATGAATATTGTCACCGAGTAAAATTAGGCCGATATCTGCATCATTATCACCATTTGAATTAACTAACCTTGACAGAGTCGGGTATTTTTGATGGAGGTTTGTCTTCTTTCGTAACCTGCTTTTCTGCAACCGTACTTTCGGACATGAGCGTCATAAACTTTACAACTTAAAATATTTATTCACCACCACCTTTGAAAGCTTTAAGACTTAAGTTTAAAAATCTATACATCCGCTTTAATAACAATCGGACTCTGCAAAAAGGTTACAACATATTTTTATATTTGAATCTAAATTTCAATTCTATTTCTTAATAACAAGACGAGCAAAAACAATCTAAACATGGATAGTCAATTGTCAACAATTATCTGACAGATTGATCGGTTTCAACCACAGACAATGCAATAAAAACCATGTCTCCCCACAGGGTATAATTAATTTTAGCCAGACTATATCATTATTTTAGAAACTACGAACAACCACAGAAAAAATATTCTTTAAAAAGGATAATAAACTGGATTTTTTTTTTTTTTTTATTACATACCTCGTGGTTCTTAAACGCAATATACGCTCCTGTTTTTTTTTGTCAAGTCATTGTGAGGGTTTGCATATAATAGATGGCAAAAAGACATTAACGCAGAGGTTCTTTATTTAAAAATATTAGTACTTAATTAAAATCTTATTATACCACTCTTTGCAATAGGTTTATTATCAAAGATTTTTAATTGTAACACTTGATTCGAAAAACATGGCAATAACTAAAACATGAGAAACTTCTAGCTGCAAACGTCTCTTTTTTAGTACATTACTCGTAATTAAATAAAATTTCTTTACAGTTAAAATTAAATTCTTATGTTAATTTGTATATTGCTAATTGCTAATACAATGTTGCCAGGAGTTTATTTTTAATCTTGGTGATTAAAGCTAGGATTTTAAAATACTAGAGGTTTTTACAGGTTAAAGAAATTATCTAAAATTAATTAAGTCAACAGAAATATTTAGGTCACAGTTAACGATTTGGCTGAAACACTCGTTAACAAATTGCGTTTTTATTATTTGGGTTCCTACAAAGAAGCTTTATAAGCCTTAATACAATACTTGCATAGAGGTCAAATAGGTATTTCTTTTCAATAAAAGGAAAATAAACCTTGATTTTTAAACATCGCTAAGGGCCGTTTCCTTTAAATAATCAAAGAATATTACACAGCTATACAATCAAAACTTTTTATACACACAGATACATTATTAAGATCCCCTTTGGACTAGAATATTCGGCCGGTAGTAGAAAATGGTATGAAACTAATTAAAATTTATTTAGTGTTTAAGTTCTAAGGTAATGGGGCGGCGGTGGTGGTGGTGGGGCCGGTCGGAGTCTGGAACCGCGTTCTAGCTGTCGTCGCCACGAAGCCATCGCCTCACTGAGAGACCAGAGCTCGGAGAGCAGCGAGAGATCCAACTGACGAAGGCTGTCCTGAAACAATATAAGAATTTATTTAGTGGGACGATTATTTATTACAATACGTATGCAAACCATAGACAATTTAAAATTGTATAAACGACGGTAAAAGTTATGCAGATTAAGCTAATGAATATTCATGAGATTTTTTCAATGTCCTAAAATTGGAAAGCGTTCGAGTACGCTTATTCGTGCGTACGAAATCATTCGAGTGGATTCCTTCGCAAATCAATTATGCACGACGGATTTCCATAAGTACCAACAGCTCGAGAAATGTGAGTCAATTTAATGGTGATAAAAAAACAGGCGTGTGTATTATGAATATAGGGAATTCGGTCGGTAATTATATGGACATGAAAGCTAATAACTAGAGAATAGAAATAGGTTTAAAACATAAGGCGGTTGGAATGTAAAAAATTGCTAAGCGACCTTACGTCAACGTTCTCTTCGATTGCAAAAGTCAAGGAATGCGACATAAACGCGAGTCACGACTCTAGCTATGTAGGACTAACTAAACGTATGTAAAGTAGTGCTATCAAAATTAAATTTTGCTTTTATGTTTTAAATTAGTTTTGGGTAGATCGAAATGCGATTAACTTGGTCACGGGGAGACTCCCCGCAAAAAAGACTGCTGCAATGTAGCCGTAAACGTCGGGCCGTAGTTAAATAATTCTTAAACAAGTTTAAATAATATATTTCGCGTTGTAAACCGTTGAAGTGTTTTATTTAGACCGAGTCTATTTTACAATTCATTAAAAATAACATGATTTTGTTCCTGCGTATCTTATCGAGTCAAGATATCCGGGAAATCGCAATATTACCTACTTAGATGCAGTAGGAATGTCGAAAGTCCGATTTGTCGATCCGAATTGATTTTTCGGGCTCAGTCGCTGGCTGTTCTAAATATTCAAAAGATAAAGACAAATAAGATCAATCGCTTAGATATTGAGATATGGCTGGTGCTCACCTTGTGAACCCCTATGTCTCTTCTTTTCTGCCACTACTATACAGACGTCTGTATCACGCGACACGAATTTCGCGCATTCTGAGAGATTGCGCAGGAAAGAGGGAAAGTGCAGAATCTCCACGCTTCGGCGGAGATGGAAATGCCCGATTTGATCATAGCATGTTCTACGCGTAATGGACTATTGTGTCACTAAGAAATGCAATTTAACATTCTTGAATTGTACACTTTCTTCGATCTGGGTGATGGTGAAATTGCCAATGTCCAATTCGTGTTTTCAGAGGACACTCTCGTAGTGCATAATACTAACATATCGATATAAACATTGCTGCATATATGTCCTACTGGTGGGCAGAGATCACTCTCTCTCTCTTTCGCAGCCATACTAATATTATAAAGTTGAAGAGTTTGTTCGTGTGACCACGCTAATCTCAGGAAGTAATGGTTCAAATTAAAAAAATATATTTTTGTCTTGGCTGGACCATTTCTTTAGAAAGGCTGTATAATTTATAACATCACGCTGCGATCAATAGGAGCGAAGAACCAGTGGACAACGGGGAAAAATTATTCATCTTTGAAGGTTTTGGTCGCAGCAGTTTTATGGGCTAAAGCTTTCCTCGACAAATTCTCTATACAAGACAAATATTATTTTTCCATTCGAACCAGTAGTTACTGAGATCAGCGTGTTCAAACGAACAAACTCTTCAGCTTTATAATAACAGTTTAGATAGGTTACAAGAGCTTAAACCAACCACGCAGTCCCAGTGCGGATTAGCGGGTTTTAACGGTTATAATTCAATTGATCAAAATGAATAAAACACATTCTAACGAATTTCGATAGCAACAAAGAACAATTAAACCTAATCTATTGTGCGAAGCACAACAATCGTTGTTGTGAAACGTAGGAATTCAAATAACAGTATATATCTGCAATGTATTTCGAGATATTTGCCAACTGGTATTAAAAATGGCTCGCAGATAAATAAACAATGCCGAAAGATATGTGCCAAGGAAACATTTCAAACGTTATAAACCTAAAACTGACCGGTCGAGCTTTTCAGAAAATATCACGTAAAGCCAGATAAAACTAATTCCCAGTTGGAATTAGTTTTATCTGGCTAACATTTTCCTGCACTAAAATAACATATAACAAAACACCGTGTATCTGGTGAGCTAGTTTAAGATATAAAATCGTCTTATGCCTTTGTGTCAATTTAACATAAAAATAACTTTGATAGTTTTTCTCAATCAATTTATTTTTATTCATTAAATTTCCAGTAATGCTTTATTTAGGCAGTATTCCCGCCAAACGAAAGCGGGCAGTTACATCAACATGTTTTGAGCTGTTATTGTTGCAACTAGTTCAAAGGAAACGCTTTTTAACCGTTCACGTCCGCCCCATTGTGTACCAATCTATAGTTGGAACTCGGCTTAGCACCGAAACACAGTAGAACGACCCAAGTGCCAGACGAAGGCTCGAGGTTCTCGGTGTAATTCAAAGTAAGCGCGCGCGCATATCTGTATTTCAGCCGAAATTATTAAATGTTTAGCCACAGTCGATATTCTTTCCACTAGCATTAACACGTTTTTTAAAGACCGAATACGAGGGTGGCGTCCACTTGATGGTTATACCGGGTACATAACCTCTAAGCAAGATGTGCTATCGATCTATCGAATTTGGACATTTAGAAATCCGTAAACTGAAACCAAACACGATTATTTTACGGCTTTTCTTTTTTTAAAATTCAGTTTTTCCAGACATAGTTTAACATGTTTCAGACAAATAGTTTATTAGTTTTTAACTTGTTTATCTATTCGTGTTACGTCGATTTTTCGCTACTTGTACCACTGTATAGTTTATCGGCTGTGAAACTTTCATCCATGTTTCCAGCCATGATAGATTACCCTTATTATGAATGGCTCATTAAGATGTTCAGATTACTTTTATTTTACGGTTGTATGCATCTTATTTCACGTGGATGCTCTTACTGATAGCCATTGTATACAGTCTAATGTACTTTTTATGATAATTTCAAGTGATTTCTATCATGACCGCAGCTGAACATTAACTAGACCATAGACAATATACGATAAAGAGAATTTTCATGTTGATTAAGCACATAAAGAGAATTCTCTATTATTAAAAAAAACATTGAATTCAAGAACAGTTGAGATACTCTATGATCCACATCTTAAAAGTTCACTGTCTCGTCATTAAGAAATAGCATTTCTCTACGGAAGATACGTAAATATTTATTAAAAATAACTTCCTTATAAAACAGGAAACATAAAACACGACACGGCTAAGCAAACTCACACACTAGTTACATTATATTTGGGTCATATACCTACTTCTAACTATTCTACTTATTTGAAGCAAAGTTACGTTCGATAAAAAATACTTGATTAGGTCCCTTTTTAAATGTATTCATTTATTTATAAAGATAAATAGAATATAGAAAAGTTAAATTAAAAATCGATTTTTTAATTGAATGCACTTGACACAACACAACACTACAGCCGTGTTGTTGCTCTGACAAGGTAGCTTTTCGGTTCAAGTTCTGCCCGTGTCGTAAATTTCTTTCATTTTGAAGAATCGTCGATCATATGCAATAACATGTGAAAATTATGATAAGTTTTCTAATATATAAAAAATTACTGTGTAATATGACAAAAGGCACTTAAATTGCCTAGGGAAATGAAAATAAAATCCTGAAAAGATCTTAGGAAACGCATATGCCACTTGGTTTGTGTTGTGATAGTTATGTGCAACAGCGACTTTCAGTAAATATAGATAAGAATTGGTCCTTAACTTCCCGTCTATCGTTTCAAAACATAAAATGGCGTTCAACGCTAGTTCGTACTGAAGATGACACACAAACAGCCTCGTAACGGCGCTCAGGCAGAACGATTGGTAAACAGAAGCAACAAACGTTAGATACAGTTAGATACGAAGGCGTAAAAAGCTAGTGGTTCCCGTGTGACCAGTCCACCCACGGACTTTTTAGCCATATTAGTAAACGTGACCCCCTTTGAACACCCTGCTTTTTCTAAAGAACTATCGATATAACGGATTATTATCAACTTAAGGCACACTTCGTTAAAAGACACTTCTCTAAGTATAATATACAATACCAAGGGCACGCATCTTGTTTAGATATGATATGAGTTCTTTAAGTTGATAGACAAATTTGTAAAAGTTGTAATTGACTGGGCGTTTTGCTGGGCTTATTAACTTACACGGATGTATAAGTTAATAATAAAGCCAAAGCGATTCTTAATCAAAGATGCCACTCACGTTTATAAAATAAGGACGTTATACACGAAAGTTGAAAGTATAAAAAGGCTTATGAGGACGCACGTAGCACAAGTACAACCTACTCCTACAGTTCCGGTTGAAACGTTCAAAATAAGTTTCCAAACTTTATTTAAGTAACCAACATTTAATAAGAAATATTGATAACACGAAGACTAATGTATGTCACACATGTATATATGTATGTATCACTAAAGTATATAAAATGTTATTACTCAAATCCTAAAGTACTATTCTGAAGAGTTAGTCTGAATGCGCTAATCTCAGGAAATTCATTCTAGTCCAAATTGAAAATAAATATTTTTCGGTCGGTTGGAGTTATTTATCAAAAATAACAAAAATTAAAATATATAAATAATTTTTTTTTTAAAATCTAAAACAACGTCCGCATCATTTATGAATAACTCGCAAGAAACGGCTTTATGGTAATCAAATTTGTTCAAAACATATTACTTCAAGTGGCAAAAGAACGTTTACCGGGGAAAAACAAAAAATCGTAAATTGTCAATTCACCAGTAAGACATGGCGACAGCTCTTTTTTTAAAATTCCGAGCTATTCAAAATTTAGCAGGTAGTCGTAGAGATCGCACGTGCCGTCGCAGTTATGAAAAAACGCGTGCGCAGCTGGCACCTTTTGAATTTTTTTATTTGCCAACACATCTGCCTCTTAAGGGACCGGAAATTTTATAAAAATATCTTCAATAAGAACGGTTAAAGCAAGATTGTACAGATATA